ATCTTGCATTATGTATTCCATATCCATGTTGTCGCATGCTTGATCGTCGCATTGTGTATGCCTTGTTCATGTCTTCGTGCATGTCCATCTTCGTATGTGCATTGCGTATGCCATATAGTTCATATGCATTGAGTATGCCATTCTTAGTTCATAGCATTGTGTATGCTAGTTGGATGTTTGCATATCATCCCTCGCATGCTCGCATGATTAGGTTGCATTACGTTTAGGGTTGCATGCTAGTCGTATTGTGTATGCCATGTATATTGCATTGTGTTTGGAATAGGGTTTAATCCAAACATGGGAAACGAGGGACGTTTCGTACTCCAAGTGACGAAACGTGCCTCGATTCTCGGTCGCTGACACTCCGAATTACCCATGATAGAGTTTAGGCCTTGTTGTGTTTATATGTGCATTCATTTTACATCGAGTCGTACAATCCGACTCCTCGGCCATCATGCATCGAGATGCGTGATTGGCGGCACGAGGATCGAGGACTACACTCCCTAGAGCTTGTGCAATGATGGAGAGAGTGGTCATGCACACATATGTTGAAAATACTTTGCCATGCCCCTTTCTCGCTCTCTGTTGCAGCAAATCGAAAACCAGCAGCAAAAATTGGTCAGCAGCCTTCTGGAGCTTTGTATAGTGCTCTGGGACCAGCTGCAAACAGAGGCAAATCGGGGCATCGCGATGGATTTCCCGACACGGCTACTTGAGCATGCATGCATCCCTATCATTCGGAACAGAGCTGAGGCAGTCCATTTTGTTTAATTTGCATGCTAGTTTCCTTACTTACTTAGTTAATTCGTTAATTAATTAATGTTGTGTAATAATTAGTTTAATTAGCTTAGATTAGCTAGTTTATTCTGTACTATTCATTCGAACCCTCCGTCGAGAGGGCGAATTTGTAATAAGTGTGCGTGCGTATGTGAATGTCTTCCAACCCCACGTCTTTCTCCCTTTTATTTACTAGCTTTTGATGGTTAGTTTAGGGCATGTTCCAATTAGCATACTTATGCTCGCATGTTTGCATCATTCATCTGTATTGCATGCATCGGGCTCGGCGTATCATGCTAACTGCATAGTATTTCAATTCCAACTTGAACACGTGTATCGAGTTATAGCATTCCACATGCCATTCTTAGCTTGGCCGAGCCTATTCTAATTGCATTTTGCATGTGCTGCATTAGCCATCGCTAACATGAACTAGGATCAGGCATTGGTTATTAACTAATTTCTTGTTTTGGTTTGGAGTACTCAGTGAGTGTTTTAGCTTTAGCATCCTTGCATGCGTGTGAGTGACTACCATGATAGCATGCTTACCATGAGGCTATCTGCTCATGTGATATAATTGCCTGAATGCCTGTGGGTGAAGGTTGGGTTATTTGAATTGGAACAATTCACCAATTGAGAGTTTTAAGCCCACTTGAGAGTGGCAAAATCATGTTTTCTTAAGCCCACTTGAGGGTGGCAAATCCACATCTTAGCCTACTTGCGAGTAGCACCATCAAACCATCTTTCAAATAAACAAGCATGAAATGTTTTGTTCCAACTCAAACGATCCAGTCTATACTTGTATGTTGTGTACATCACATAGTAATTCTAGGATAATAACCAGAATAAGACCACATAATGTTTTCAAAACAAGATATCATGTTTAGTAGTGGTCGATCTTTGATCGGGCAAGCGGGGGTGCTTACGACGTGACCTTCCCCAATCATACCCAAGTTCCCGAGCCGAGGCAACTTTGGTGATGACGAACACGTGGCCTTAGGCACGAGTCAGGGTTTCCTAAATCCCCCCAAAATAAAATATTTAGGTGGCGACTCTATATCTGGCAAAGCAATCCACGTTTGGCACTTCTTTCTAAAAATCAGTTTTTCAAAACGATTTGTCGGATTTGGACTCTTTGATGATTCATCGGTCTTGCATTGCACTCCGCGAGATTAGATACAGGACCGTGACATCGAGTCCGAAATGTAGTGAGCTCAATGAACAAAATGGGATTTCCTCCTAAGACGTTCGGGGATGTCTACACTAATAGGCTCTAATAGTTGGATTTAATTTCTTTAAAATCTTATTGAAAATAAATCTTAATAAAATCGTCACTAAAAGTAATTTTTTGTGACGAAATTTTCAAACTGTTGCTGAAAGTTAAAAATTAATGACTTTTTTTGTAACAATTTTCAAACTGTCTTTGAAAATTAACAAGGAGTGACATTTTTTTAATAGTATTTGATGAAAAATGCTATTAATTATCATAGAACTTATTAAATAATAAGTTCACTTATTATGACATACACGTAAGTCCTCCGAGGAACTACTAGGCTAGAAGAACTATTGCAATGAGAGTTTAATTATAATAAAGCTGTCTTTGATACATGTAAGTCCTCCTAGGAACTACTAGGCTAGAAGAACTATTGCAATGAGAGTTTAATTATAATAAAGTTGTCTTTGATTGTTTGGCCAACTCTGATGATAACCCTCACTTATAAAACATACCCATATTACTATTGAAATAAAAAAAATAAAAAAAAATTAAATTAAAAGGGCACTGAGGCCTTAAATCTAATTTTCAATTTTTTTGAGCAACAATCTTAAGTTATAATCTTTTAGGACATAAGAACAATAATAATTTAAAAAGTCATACTATTCTTCCCTATCTATTTGTCTGTTCACTATTTTACTTATTTGTCTCTGTCACCTAGCTATCCATTGATTTATCAAGTGTCGTCTATTTGTCCACCTAATCTATTTATTTGTCCATGTCACCACCACCACCAAGTATGGATCTAGGGGGGGCGGCCGCGCCCCCAAAAATTTGAAAAATATCATATATTATACTAGAAATTTCAAAATAATTTAAAATTATAGGAGTTCGCACTCCCAATTTTTTTTTAGATAATTTCAAAATTATATAGAGTAGCCCCCAATTTCTTAAACTATTTGGATTTTTTTTTTTTTGAATTAGTTAACATATATAATAATCTATTTTAAATTTCATGTATATGTATTTTTTAAATTAGGTCAAGATGAAAGCAAAATTTTAGAAACTTTAATGGGTCAAAGTGTAAAATATGAAACTTTTACAAATATATAAACTATAAGGCTTGCTGGAGAAGTTTGTTCAAACAAAGCACTAAGATTAAAAAAAGAAAAGAAAACAATTGATCTGAGAGACTTGTTGTGATTCGAAAGAGAGGAGAGGAGGGAAGAGATGAGGGAAGAAACGGAGAAGCTTTGTTGTCGGACTTCGTCAGAGCTGGTCGGCGTAGACGATGGAACCGTGGACTCTCACTGGTAAGTTATCTGATATCCCTCCAGCTTCAATGTGATTATTCTGTTTTTAGACTGAATATTATGATTGATTGTGATTTTAGACTGAATAATGCAATTATTTTGTTATTAATTTGTTATTGGCTGTTATTGGTCACCCATAAGCCTGCAGACAACTAGAAATCTTCAACCCAATTTTCAGTTTTGGTATCCTAAACTTGACCAAATCCCCAACTTCCTACATCACATAACCCACAATTACATCCCCACTGTCAATAGATTTCGCTCCTCTCTCCAAACACTCTTTTATTTTACTATGCCAATCGAAAAAATAAATACACATAGACTCTTTCAACACACACATCAGAACCCACCACATCTAACATTATCTGAGTTAGCAATTGATTTTGAATTTTTTAAAAAATAAATAATAATTTAATGACAATGTGGGGCCAATGCAAGCTGGTTGTTTTTTTGGGTGAAATTGTGGCAGAGAAGCTGGCATAGGGTAGAGAAGCCAGGAGTTGCGATGAATATTTGATAATTGTTATTGGTACAATTGTTAACTAAATATTGTGAATTTTTTTTACTACTATGATTTATTGTAATTGGTAGGTACTGTGTTGTGTGATTTCTTGATAATTGAATAGGCTTTTAGGTTATGATTTGTTGATTTCCTCTAAAAATTTGGATAAAAATCAAAATGTTATTTTGTGCTGCCATATATTTTACGACTTTTAGGAATAGGATGGAAGATGGTTTTCTGGCTAGTTACTTGATTACGTACATTAAAAAAGACATTGCTCGAGAGTTTGATGTAGACTCTATCATTCATGCTTTTGATATTATAAAAGAGCGTCAAGCTCAATTGAAAATGCCTAATTTTAGTAAATAAATGCATGTAGAAATAGTTACTACTTTTTGTAAGTGAATATGAGCAAAAAAAATATTCTCAATTGTATGATCATCTTTTTGTACTCAATTATGTTGACAAGGAATATATAGTTCAATATTTTATCATAGCATTATTGATTTTTTTTCATGTTAGTTGAATTGGTATTGAACTTCAAATTTTATTGGTTAAAAGTTAAACGTACTTTGGCCCCCCCAAAGTCATAATCCTGGATCCGTCCCTGACCACCACTAGCCACTATTGGTTGCCACCACTAGTCGTTGGGACTTTTTTGCTGACAGTAGGTAAAAATGAAAGAAAAATCCTTCAAAGCAATAATTTGTCATTTTCATCAAACAATTTCATTAATCATATTTTTACAACCAAAATAAAATAATTCTTGAACCTAATACCATACACACCTCTAAAACTAGACTTCTCACTTATTTTTACCAAAAAAACAAAAAAAAAATCAAAATCAAAATCAAGGTTGCTATAGGCTCTAGGGTAGGATCTAGGGTTCCATGTGAAAATTAGAAAAATTATTAGTTGATCTTAGGGCACCATGTGGCCATATCCCATACCAATCACAAACTCTTATGCCCCTCATATTTCCCAATCACCAACACAAAATCACGAGTCTCGCTATTTCTATTAATCACAATGCACGTGGAGCGTTACCTAACGCTACCTCCAAACTAACCAATAACTTCTCGTGAAATTAATGTGATACAGTACCAAGATATTGGGAAAATTGGTTTGGTTGGTTCCATGTGAAAAACAACTTCATATTTAGAACTTTAATCTATTAGTTGGACTAAGAGAGGTTCGGGTTTAGAGGTTATCCAAATTCAATTTAAGTTGTATTAATGACAACTGCATGTACTTGTCAAAGTTTGAATTGTACCTTGAGGTTGTCTAGTCAAGTCCAACCCAAGTTAAGCTTGAGTTACTCAAGTTGCAAGGATTGTACATAATTTTATTTTATTTTATTATTTTGTGTGATGGATCTAGGGGGGGCAGAGGGGGGCGGCCGCACCCCCAAAAATTTGAAAAATATCATATATTATACTAGAAATTTTAAAATAATTTAAAATTATAGGAGTTCGCACCCCCAAATTTTTTTTAGATAATTTCAAAATTATATAGAGTAGGCCCCCAATTTCTTAAACTATTTGAATTTTTTTTTTTTTGAATTAGTTAACATATATAATAATCTATTTTAAATTCCATGTATATGTATTTTTTAAATTAGGTTAAGATGAAAGCAAAATTTTAGAAACTTTAATGGGCCAAAGTGTAAAATATGAAACTTTTACAAATATATAAATTATAAGGCTTGCTGGAGAAGTTTGTTCAAACAAAGCACCAAGATTAAAAAAAGAAAAGAAAACAACTGATCTGAAAGACTTGTTGCGATTCGAAAGAGAGGAGGGGAGGGAAGAGATGAGGGAAGAAACGGAGAAGCTTTGTTGTCAGACTTCGTCAGAGCTGGTCGGCGTAGACAGTGTCGTGGACTCTCACTGGTAAGTTATCTGATATTCCTTCAGCTTCAATGTGATTATTCTGTTTTTACACTGAATATTATGATTGATTGTGATTTTAGACTGAATAATGCAATTATTTTGCCATTAATTTGTTATTGGTTGTTATTGGCCACCCATAAGCCTGCAGACAACTAGAAATCTTCGACCCAATTTTCAGTTTTGGTATCCCAAACTTGACCAAATCCCCAACTTCCTACGTCACACAACCCACAATTACATCCCCACTGTCAATAGGTTTCGCTCCTCTCTCCAAACACTCTTTTATTTTACTATGCCAATCGAAAAAATAAATACACATACACTCTTGCAACACACACATCAGAACCCACCACATCTAACACTATCTGGGTTAGCAATTGATTTTGAACTTTTTTTAAAATAAATAATAATTTAATGACAATGTGGGGCCAATGCAAGCTGGTTGTTTTTTTGGATGAAATTGTGGCAAAGAGGTTAGCATAGGGTGGAGAAGCCAAGAGTTGCGATGAATATCTGATAATTGTTATTGGTACAATTGTTAACTAAATATTCTGAAATTTTTTTTAATACTATGATTTATTGTAATTGGTAGGTACTGTGTTGTGTGATTTCTTAATAATTGAATAGGCTTTTAGGTTATGATTTATTGATTTCCTCTAAGAATTTGGATAAAAATTTAAATGTTATTTTGTGCTGCCATATATTTTATGACTTTTAGGAATAGGATGGAAGATGGTTTTCTGCCTAGTTACTTGATTACGTACATTAAAAAAGACATTGCTCGATGGTTTGATGTAGACTCTATCATTCATGCTTTTGATATTATAAAAGAGTGTCGAGCTCAATTGAAAATGCCTAATTTTAGTAAATAAATGCATGTAGAAATAGTTACTACTTTTTGTAAGTGAATATGAGCAAAAAAATATTCTCAATTGTATGATCATCTTTTGGTACTCAACTATGTTGACAAGGAATATATAGTTTAATATTTTATCATAGCATTATTGATTTTTTTTCGTGTTAGTTGAAATTGGTATTAAATTTCAAATTTTATTGGTTAGAAGTTAAACTTACTTTGGCCCCCCCTCCCCCCAAAGTCATAATCCTGGATCCGTCCCTGGGGGTTTGTGATGTAGCTAAGTTAATTAATTTGTTAAAAATTGAACACTATTTACATTTTGTTAAATAAAATCATTAATAATAATAAAACAAATAATTTATATAATGTGAGAGAGATATTAATTAAAGAATCAATGTGCCCCTACAGTGGTCTTTACAATCTATTAATAAGAAAAAAAAGATAAAATTGTGTTATGTTTCTTGTATATATAAATATATTTAATATGATTAACGATCTAAATTATTTTAGCACATCTAATAGTTAATATATATATATATATATAATATTTTTATACATATATATAATTTAGGTTTCAGATTGTTTAGATTGTTTGTTATCTTTGTCTAAATCCGCTCGAATTTAATTCTGACTTCTGAACTTTTGCCTAAATTTGTATTGAATTCAAAAATATGTTACCCAAGTTCTAAAATTTTTTAGAGTGGGCTCAAATTACTCGGATTAAGTTCAGTCAAGTTGCAGTCCTACCTAATCATTTTTGAATTTTTAATTTACTTCCTTTTAATTATAGTACGCTTACACAACAATATTCGTGGGGTTTGCGTCATAAATTGTAAGTTGTTTTTTTCGGAAAGATCACTGGACGACATCTATACATATAATAAAGTGAAAGGATCTTTTTGTGGAGAGTCACTATCTACTGTTGTCAAACACTAATTGTTCTTAATGGGAGTGTTTGTATCTTCCACGCCATTGTTCAATGGGAGTGAGCAGTCCAAGGGCCTGATTAGATCGGATGATAAGCAGTTTTGTTACTTCTTAAAGATGGATTCAGTAAAACTGTTGCCAGAGATAGAGAAATATATAGAGACAAGAGAATTGTATATGTGTGTGTGAGAGAGAAGAGAGAGACGGAGAGATCTGAAAACGACATAGAGAACGGCGGTGTTGGTGGCGTATGCAATCGAGACGATGGTGGCAATAGCGGCCAACTATGGTGGATATGGTGATTCAGTGGTGGAGTCATAAATTTAATATAGGGATACCTATCAATTATAATCTTAAAATTTTTTTTCCCAATAAATAACAATATCATAATAATAATTTTTCGAGTTAATATTAAACACAAAAAATTAATATTAGCACAAATTAATATTTTTAATTGTAGCACAAATCAAATACCTAGTTTTAACACAAACAATAACAAACCAAAATTCTTAATTTTAACGTAAATCACCACCAATCAAAATTTATAATTTTAACATCTCAAAATCTCTTATTTTAACATAAATAATAGCAAACAATTTTTTTTTTACAAAATCAAAACTTAACAAATAACTATAAATTAATATTCATAATTTTAATTTAAAAGTAAAAAATAATAAATAAAGTTACCTGTAAATAATGAAGAGAAAACACTAATATTTTAGTGTTGTCCCAAATCTGTATTGTGTGATCCTAATCTGGTGAATCGCAAGTCGGTAAATTACAAAACAACAAAGGGAGACAAAAAAAATACGGAGACACTTAACAAGTACTGTGAATAAATAAAAAAATAAAGAATTTCATACACTTTTAGAATTTTAAAGATCTTGCTGGTTGTCGCTGAAAGCTTTGCCCAACAAGTTTTTTTTTTTTTTTAAATTAACCGTATGAACTTATGTACAACTTTGTAAATAAATAAAATTTGAGTTGTGTTTTAATTCCATTGTGTTTAATATATGTTCTTCCAAATTAAAAGTTGACAATCAAACAATAAAAGTTAAAAGCATTTCTACTAGGAGTCTAGGACCCAAAATTTATTTTTTTATTTTTTTATTTTTTTGAAAAGCTAAGATGTGGGATGTCAGTGTTTGGTTTGGGGCTGTGTGTTAGTGTTTAGCTAAGACTTAAAAATAAAAAAATAAAAATTTTAAAAAAGAAAGTTGAAATGTTAAGGGGGCACGTGACTCCCTAGGCCTTTAGTGCCTCCACCCCTGGTTGATGATATAGAGAGAAATAGAGAGAGAGAGAGAGAGGGGGAATGATAAAAAGAGGCACAGAAAGACATGTTGAAAAGAAAACTTGGAGAGACGGTGGCGGTGAGAGTAGTTGTGATAGCATAGTGGTGGTAGTGGAGGGATGGTGATAATAGCTATAGTGGTAACGTGATGGTTGTGGTGGTGGTGGTGGTGGCGGTGGCAATAGTTGTAGTGGTAGTAGAGGTAGAGGGGTGGCAGTAGTGGTGGAAGCTGTAGTGGCGGCGGTGGTGGTAAGAGTGGTGGTGGTAATGGAAGCAATGATAAGATCATAACCATGTTGACATGTATGTATAAATATTTATAAATTCAATCATAATTAAGTTATCATTTAATTTTTTCTTCATTTTTAGCCTATATTTTCATTTTAAGAGCTATTTAAAATGAAAAAAAAAAAAGATTCATTTAAATTATTAAGTGATACTAATTGTGATTATAAAATAAATTTTATAAATTTTTTACTTAATATATTTAAATTTAAATATTGAATTAAGTTATCAAATATCAACTAAAGCACCCTTCTGTCTACTAATTCACAAAATAAAGCACATGGGTCACTAATTGTGGGTGTTTAAGAAGTTGTTATTTTAGTAGGCTATTTTTGTTTTTGATTATTTTAGTAGGGTAAAATTTTTGTGTTTAGGAAAATGATTGAATTTTTTTATAGTTGGATGTGATGTTTGTGAGAGAAAAATTGAAATGTTATTGATTTGATGTGACATTTTATTTAATTAACTATTTTAATCTATTTTGTCTTTTTGTGACTTTTAACCTGTTAGGCTAAAATTTTTCTTCCCATAGAGTGTTTGGCAAAGACTATTTTTTGGACTAAAATTTACAAAAAAACAAAATAGGCTAAAATAACCAATAAGGCAAAATGTTACATTAAACCCATAAGCATTTCACTTTTTCACTCATAATCCAACTATAAAAAAATTCAATTATATTTCCAAACACAAAAATTTTAACCTACTAAAATAACTAAAAATTAAAATAACTTATTAAAATAACAACTTCCCAAATCCTTACATTGTCCCTAATTCTTTGCCATGGTGTGCAAAGTCTCTCATATTTCATTTTCTTATGGATAGGGGGTGGATAGCCGTAGGCCATATGGGTGGCCCAATTACACAACACTCATTTTGTTTTTATTTCCTTGAGTCGATCCTCCAAAAGCCAGAACATGTTGGTATCAATCAAGTGCGCAATACAACATCATGTTGGGTGTGTGTTTTCCGAGAAGTTATCTGGTGGTCTTAGGCCACCGCCGGGTGATACTCTAAGGTCATATTTGATTAATAAGATTAATAGTGAAAATATTAATAATGTGATATTTACTACTCAATTGGATTAATAGGATAAATTATTCTCTTATATATTGTTTAATTTGAATTAGATAAGAAAACATATAAATATAAAATTATAACTATATTTATCTTCTTCTTTTTTATCAATTTTACTCTCTATCAGTGTTTCTTCACAATTTTTATTTTATCAAAATTTCTTCATAAATGTGATTTTGAAAAAAATTATAAATAAATAAATAAAAGCAAAATAAAAATATAAAATAGAAAGGCCATGTTTGGTTTGTTTTTTAATTTTTTTTTAAAATATGAACTAATCTGATAAAATAAATATTAAAAAATATTTTTAAATTTTAAAAAATTATTTTTAACCTTCTAAAATATAAAATTATATAAAAATAATAAGTGTTTTAATTTTTAGTCAAGGATAAAAGAGTCTTTTTATTTTATTTCCCAACTCAGGATATAGAATCTCATCCCCTATCCCATTATTAATAATTCTACAAATTTGTTAGATTAATTATCTATTGAATTAATAATCCTGAAATAAAATTTCAAAATAAGCACAGGATTATTAGGCCCACGAATTAATAATCCCAATCTCATGCTCTAATCTTGTCAATCAAACATTCCCTAATATTATTGTGATTGATAAAGAGAGTGAAACTCACAATTTTATATTAGATAATTGAAAAATATAAAAAGACATGATGAATTTTGATTGGCCAGAGATATGGCCGTGCCCTGTACCAACCAATAATTTTAGTGTTTTTCCTTTTCCACTGTCAAAGTGCTAACCAATGAAAAGATGACTGGAAAACTTGAAATTTGGGACAGTTTGGGCCTTATCTATGAAATTATTAATCTATGTAAGATCAACTCTAACACTATTTTTCATTTTTTATTAGCTAAAGTATAAAAATATATACTCCTTATTTTACTTAATTAATTTTTTATCTTTGTATTTTAATATTATTTTATTTTATCTATCTATTCACAGATTTAAAGAGTCTTTTAAGACTCTCCAAGTATAACTAGTTTGAAAAAATTCTGTTAAAATATCTATTGCAGTAGTTAGCCCATTGGAGTGAGTAAAATATGATGAAATTAGTTACAATAGCCAACAGACTTATTTTAAAAAGCCCGTTGGAGACGATCTAACAGTTTAGATTTTGGAGATAATTACCAACTAGTCTCATTAAGTAGATTTAAATATTATTAAGTTCTATTGACTGTTTAAATGAACCAATAAATCCTATAATATCTATATCTGTCAAGTTCTTTCATCTTCTCTTCTCTTCTCTCTTTCTATTATTTTTTCAAAAGTTTCATACCACCATTGTCTACCACCACCATCGTTGTCGCCGTCCATCTGCTACCACCGCTCCCATTGTCATCGTCTAGCCACTACCACCACCACCACCGCCGTCGTCGTTATCCACTCATCATATTCTCTTCTCTTCTCTCACTCTCTCTCTCTCTCTCTGTCTCTCTCTCTCTCTCTCTCTCTCTCTCTATATATATATATATTTCTCTCACTCCACTATTTTTCCAAAAGTTTCACACCACCATTGTCTACCATTACCGTGGTTACCACCGTCCATCTGCCATCATCGCTACCATCTAACAACCACCACCACCACCACCATTGTTATTCGGATGCCACGACTGTTGACCAACTATCTTCACCATCGGTGACGGTAGAATATCATTGTAGATCTACATTCTACCGTCACCAATCTACACTTTATTATCGTCATAGATCTACACTGACCGTCGCCGAACTACAAAACCACTAAATCACCACCGTTTCCTTTGTTTCAAATTCAGATTTATTTTTCAGTGATAAATTTGTCAACCTCTCTAGTTCTTTGTGTATGTAGAAGATGATGGTAGATACTTATAAGTAAGTGAGTGAATATGAATAAAGATGGTGAATATTAATAAATAAATTTATAGTGGTAAATTTATCAGTCATGACTTGTAAGTAAATAAAACTCTCCCGTAACTGCTACTAGATTTTATTAGAAGAGTGGTTTTCTCTCCAATCTAGATATTGGAGGGTGCTGTTCATGTTCATGAACGGTCCTTCATGTAGGGTCCTCTCCAATCCAATCAAGACTGGGTTTTGCTCATTTTGTAGGGTCCTTCATATATATATATATATATATATATACGATAAACTAATTTATCACATTTTTTTGGGCACAAATGCAATAAATTAAATAGTTTATGATTATCGGATTGATCCACTAGTGAACGCCCATTACTTTTTTTTTTTTAAAGTACAAATGAAAAGATTTTTTATTTGCATCGTACTAAATTTTTCTACCATGACATTGTAGGCCTTATATGATTTTTTTCTCCAATCAATCAATGATCTTATTGCAATACATGTAAATTTGTCCATTTAGAAAATACTATGGCCCAAAAATTTGTTCTTGGCACAAACAAAAAGAAAGTTTATTTACGCCATACTAAATTGTTCTACCGTAATAAGGTAGACTTTACCTGATATTTTCTCAGATAAATGATTTTATTGGAATAAATGAGAAATTTGTCCATTTCAAAAATGGTATGGTCCTTAAATTTTTGTTCTTTATGGGTTCAAATGGGAAAAAAATCTTTACTTACATCGTAATGTAACATTTTAGGCCTTACATGAGTATTTCTCTATCAATGATTTTATTTGAGTACATGAAAAATTTGTCCATTTCGAAAATAGCAAGGCCCATCAGTTACACCGAAATAAACATGTAAGGCCTAAAATTGTTCTAAAATTTTTTTTGGGGGAGTTACGAGTCAGTCCTATGGACCGGTCTTATTACTCAGTAGGTTCTATCCAAAAAATCAAACAGTGTTTTTCATTTTTATCCCTATACTCAACACTGTAACTCAAAATTTAAGTGATAAATTCACAAAAACAAACTTATCACTGATTTAAACAAATTTGTCACTGATTTATCATTAGTTTAAACAAATTTATTACTGGTTTAAATAGATTTATTACTGGGATCTTCCTTTAATATACACACAGAGAGAGAGAAGACCTGGCGATAAAGAGCCTAGATCCAAGATCTAGAGGTGGAGGCCACGACAACTATGGAGATGGAGGCGGCAGTGGTCCACAATGACGGTGGAGGTGGAGGTGAAGACGTTGGTGGCAATGGAAGCAATGGTGAAAGTGGAAGAAGATGCTAGTTGAGGTCGCTGGCAATGACAACAGTGGAGGCGGCGGTGGTCGGCAACGGTAGAGATGGTGATGATCGTTGGTGGAGGAATGTGTAAAGAGAGAGAGAGAGCTTCTTTTTTTTTCATTTTTCATCATTCATCTCACAGATTTGAGTATAAATATGAGGGCAAAAATGAAATAAATAAAAATGTTTAGGACCTATAGGTAAAAGAGCCTCCATTAAAGACCTGTTGAGTAATAACCCTTGAAAATAGGACTGAGCCGTAAAAATCCCAAAAATTTCCCATTTAAAAAATTGTAAGGCCCATAAATTTTTTTTTTTGGGTGGAAGATTTGGATTACATAATTTTTTTTTTCATTCTGAAATTGTAAGGCCCATAAATATTTTTAGTACAAACGAGAGGATTCTTTATTTGTGCCGTGCTAAATTGTTCTACTGTGATAATGTAGGCTTTGCCTGATTTTTTCTCTGATGAATGATTTTATTGGAATAAATGAGAAATTTGTCCATTTCAAAAATGGTATGGTCCTTCAATTTTTATTCTTTATGGTGACATTTTAGGCCTTACATGGGTATTTCTCTATCAATGATTTTATTTGAGTACAAAGGAGAAGATTTTTTATTTAGGCTATACTAAATTGTTCTATTGTGATGATGTAGGCTTTACTTGATTTTTTTCTCGGATGAATGATTTATTGGAATAAATGAGAAATTTGTCCATTTGAAAAATGGTATGGTCCTTAAATTTTTTGTCCACATGGGTTCAAACGAAAAACAAATCTTCAGTTACATCATACGAAATTGTTCTACTGTGACATTTTAGGCCTTACGTGAGCATTTCTCTATCAATGATTTTATTTGACACCACAACAAATTACATTTTTGGTGACCAAATTTGGTGATTAAAAAAATTTAGTTGCCAAAAGTTATGGAATTTGTAACCCAAAATTATATTAGTCAGTAAAAGTACAATATTTAGCTACGAATTTTTTTTAGTCGAGATATATTGATTATTGGCAACTAAAAAAAATTTAGTCGGTAAAAATGCCACAATTGGCGACTGAAAAAATATTTTAGTCGTTGTATAGTTAGTTTTGGCTAATAAAATTATTTAGTTACCGAATGAAAAGTAAAAATTTACTTTTTATCTTTGGCGACCAAAAGTTTGGTCGCCAAAAATTTATTTTCAACGATTAAAAAATATTTTAGTTGTTGTATAGTTAGTTTTAGCTACTAAAATTATTTCGTCGCCGAATGAAAAATAAAAATTTACTTTTTTTCTTTGGCGACCAAAAGTTTGGTCACCAAAACTTTATTTTCAGTGTTTTAGTCACTGTATAATTAGTTTTAGCTACTAAAATTATTTAGTTGCCCAATGAAAAATAAAAATTCAC